AACAAGACGGTGGTGAAATCCAAGTTCAGAATGGTAATCCTGGCCTCTGTTATCCCGGTTTTACAGTTAGGAGACTGGTACTCAACTCTCGATCTCAAGGACTTGATGGTTTCTCCGTTTTATTGTTTCCCGATGTCACTTCCAATTTACACTGCTTCCATTTGGCCTGTCAACAGCACCCAGGGTCTTTACAAAACATGGCAGTCATAGCAGTGTTCCTCTGCAAAAAAGGGGTACACGTCTTTCCGTACCTAGACGACTGGCTGATTCCTGGTCGTTCCTACGGTCAAGTGGAGGCCCAGGTTTCCCTCACAAGGGCCCTCTTCATAAGGCTGGGACTCGTGCTAAACGAGGAAAAGTCATCGTTGACTCCCTCCCAGCACCTCGAATTCGTAGGTGGCCTCCTGGACACCACCAGGGTGTCGAAAGCACTCCTCCCCAGAACCAGGTTTCTGTCTATAGTGGAGCTGGTCTCGGAGTTAAGCCAGTTCCCCATCATGACCATCCGGGTCTGCTCGAGGCTGCTGGGACACATGGCGGCGTGTACGTATGTGGTATGTCATGCTCGAATGAGGCTCAGGCCTCTGCAAGCCTGGTTGGCAAGGGCATTCAACCAGTCCAGGGGTCTCTGGGACACGGTTCTTACAGTGCCTCCGGAGGTGATAGCCTCCTTATAATGGTGGACCCAGGAGGCGGTAGTGTGCAGCGGGATTCCGTTCACTGTACCTCCCCCCTCTCTTACACTGGTCACAGATGCTTCCAACTTGGGTTGGGGAGCACACCTGGGGTGTCACAGAACCCAGGGTTTATGGTCCCCTGCATAGTGGGCTCTGCACATAAATGTCTGGGAGCTCAGGGCAGTCAGGAGAGCCTGAGAGACCTTCCTGTCGAAGCTCTCACACTGCTTTGTCCTGGTCCGCCTGGACAACACGGCAGCTGTGTTTTACCTCAACAGGCAGGGGGGAGCCCGGTCACCTCCCCTCTGCCACGAGGCCCTGTGCCTCTGGGACCTGTGCGTACAGCACAACATAGTTTTGCAGGCAGAGTACCTGCTGGGGTGCAAAAACTTGCTGGTCGATGCTCTGAGCAGATCCTTCGGAGCCCACGAATGGTCTCGTAAGGATTCGGCCCTTCGTCAGGTCTTCCACAGGTGGGGTTGTCCCCTAGTAGACCTGTTTACCTTGGCACGCAACAGAGTTACTGCTTTCTGTTGGGGCTGAGGGAACACTCCAGGGGGGATGCCATGGCCGGCGGGCATCCTCTGTGTTTTCCCTCCGTTTCCCCTAATTCCCAGGATTCTGACCAGGGTCAAGACCTTCAGGTCCACGGTCATCCTGATAGCCCCTCGGTGGCCCAGTCAGTTCTGGTTCCCTGTCTTGGTGGATATGCTTAGCGAGGAGCCTATAATGCTCCCGCCAGTTTGGGATCTCCTGACCCAACCCTGGGATGGGGGAACCATGGTTCACCCGAATCTCAGCTCTCTCCACCTGACAGCCTAGTTTATCCGTGGCTAATCCAATCGGAAAAGGAATGTTCCCAGGAGGTACAGATGGTGCTCCTAAGTAGTAGGAAACCGTCTACCAGGCGGTGGTACGCAGCCAAGTGGTGGTGGTTCTCGTCTTGGGCGTCCAGAAGGGGAGTGCACCCGTCCTATGCACCTGTCCCGTCCATTCTGGACTACCTCTTTGAACTTAGGTCCAATGGCCTCTCCCACCTCCTCTATCAAAGTCCATGTGGCATCTCTCTCCACCTTCCATGTTGGTTCGGCTGGAGTCTCTCTGTTTTCTGACCCTGTGGTCAAAAGGTTCCTTAAGGGTTTGTATAAGTTGTATCCCTCGGTTAGACCCCCTCTCCCCGCTTGGGACTTTAACCTTGTGTTGTCTAGACTTGTGTTGCCCCCCCTTTGAGCCGCTGGCTTTCTGAAGCACCTCTCTGTGAAGAGTGCGTTCATTGTGGCCATTACGTTGGCTCGCAGGGTCTCCGAGCTGAGGGCGTTAACTGTAAACCCGTCCTACCTAGTGTTCTCTGACAATAATGTGAGGCTCCGCCCTCATCCGGCCTTTCTCTCCAAGGTGGTGTCACTGTTCCATTTGTCCCAAGAAATTTACCTCCCGGTTTTCTTTCCAAAGCCCCATGCCTCCCCTAAGGAGCAAGTGCTCCATTCCCTGGATGCTAGACATGAGTTAGCCTTTTATATTGATAGAACTAAACCCTTTCGTAAATCCACACAATTTTGACAGAATGAAAGGTTCTCCCCATATTGACCCAGAGGTTGTCCAACTGGGTTGCAGGCTGTATCTGGGAGTGTTATGTGTTGGCCGAGAAGGTCCCGCCCCGGGTTACGGCACATTCCACCAGGGCGCAGGTGTCCTCTGTAGCTTTTGGGGTGCAGGTTCCAATCACTGAAATCTGCAGGACGGCCACGTGGTCGTCGTGCCATACCTTTACGGCGCACTACGCACTGGCACAGCAGGGTAGGGAGGACGCAGGGTTGGGCTCTGCGGTCTTCAGCTTCTTCCAAACCCTTAGTGTGATTCACTTTTTCTAGCTCTCTGAGTAGCCTTTCTGTGACCACTACTCAGGTGAGAAGGATGGGCAGGCTAACAGCTCCTTTTGTAGACAGCATTCCTAAAAAGGGTGCTCCAATTTAGAGATGTTCCTAGTTTTATGCCAAGGGTGGGGAAAAGAACGGTTACTTACCTGTAACTGTTGTTCTTCGAGATGTGTTGCTCATGTCCATTTGATTCCCCCCCCATCTCCCCTTCGTTGGAGTGTCTGGCGAGAAGGAACTGAGGTGGGGGAGCGCCAGCAGGGGTACTTATGGCGCCACTCCAGGGGGCGCCTTGCCGGCGCTACGGGTACCGCTAGGGAAAACGCTCTGGAAGACGCAGTGCACACGTTGCGCATACCTAATTCGAATGGGCATGAGCAACACATCTCGAAGAACAACAGTTACAGGTAAGTAACCGTTCTTTTCCCCACCCTTGGCATAAAACTAGGAACATCTCTAAATTGGAGCACCCTTTTTAGGAATGCTGTCTACAAAAGGAGCTGTTAGCCTGCCCATCCTTCTCACCTGAGTAGTGGTCACAGAAAGGCTACTCAGAGAGCTAGAAAAAGTGAATCACACTAAGGGTTTGGAAGTAGGGGTAGGTCTGTAAATCACTGCATTCTAGGTTGGTGGGAAATGATGGAAAACCCTTCCTAAAGGACCCAGATGGACTTCAACGATGAGTTGTTCTAGTAATGTGTCATGTGCTATAGCCTTTTTAAAGCTTTCCTGAAAAATTCTGACAACATACATATATACTAGGGAGCGGTGCCCCCTGCTTGCTATGCTTGCCAACTCCCCTCTCTGAGGGTGGGCAGCCCCATCTCTACCCCTGGCCACCAGGGAGGGCCAGGCCAAAGCATGGCAACCCTGGCCTGCCCTGGCTCTCTCACCCCAGCCATCGCCCTCCCCCGAGGCCAGACCGGGCCCAACTCCTGCCCATTCTACCCCTCCTCTCTCCCCTCCCTCCTCCCGTGCCCCCCTTCCCACACACACACTGCAGTCTGGAGCCGCTCTGAGCCCGCAGAGATGGGGGTTGGTGAGCTTAGCGAGCAGGGAGCACCTCCCTCTAGTAACATATATAAAAGTTTCAGAGGGCGTTGCTTTTGTAGGCTTTCCTTGTTATTTCAGGGCCTTCATCATGTGAGCTGGGTCCTCAGAGGTGGCTTTTCAGGCACTGGGCTATTGCTGAGAAGCATTTTGAAAATAAAAGATTTTTGTGTGATTTTTTTTCCATGATTCAGAGGACTGCATGACCTCTACTCCATCTAGGATGAGAATTAGAGGGGGGAGAGAAGGCAAAGAATATCTGATCTTTCTACAAATTAAAATGTGGGATGAGGGTGAATTTCTTCCCCATCTTCTATATTTGAAGTCAAAGGAGGGTGAATTTAAGGAGAAGAGTAGAAGGTAGGCAGGCAGTTCTTCAGTCTGTCGGCTTCAAATACCCAGTTGAACAGGATACATTTGCTGGGATGAAATTGGTGTTCAGGGACCCTCTATATCTCATTTGGATTTGCATGTCAATCTGAGTACTTGTTAAAGGAGCCAAACTGCCTGCTATGGGAGCAGCATCAACTGACGCTGTTGTGGAATGAAGAGGGGTCTACATTGCAGGGTAGGCAGAAGGAGCTAGCCACAAATGAACATAACTTTGCTGCAGATAATGTGGTGCCTTTCATGTTTCTTCATAGAAGCCTTTGCTTCTGAAGATAGTTGGTTTGGGTGATTTGAGCACATAGAATTGGGAGTCTGGAGCCCATGAGTTTTAGTTCTGTCTTTATCAGACTAGGGGCATGTGGTTATAGACATATCTCTTCTTCCTGCCTTGTCAGCCTTTCCTCTTCTTCTCCAGCCTTTGGGGGGCGGGGGGGGGGGGGGGGACAGTAGCTTTAGCAACCTGCAAAGGAGGAGGAGGAGAAGGGGAAGAGCTGCTGCTGCTGTAGGAGAGTTTAGTCCTTTGTTCACACCATCAATTTGCGGAGGAGGGGGAGGAGGAAAGAGAACCGGTTGAAATTTGCTGATGAGTCTGCCTGGGAAATAACGCCGAACCTTATTTCATTTGACAAATTTAAGCTGAATAAGGGCTAACATTAATTCCACCTGACAACTTAAATTTCTCTTGCAATTTCTGTTGGATACAATTTATTTTATTTTCTATCTTAAATAGCTGAGGTATGTTGTTGTAACCTATGTTAGCTGTTTAAACCTAGTGTTGGCTGCATGTTAGTGTGCTTCAGATGATCCCTTTATATAGTCTGTATATTAACTTTGCAAAAATGTTTTGAGATTCTTCAGACATTAAATGAGGTTTAAGATAATCTGATTCCTCCTCTTGCAGTTTGTCAGTTTATACATTACATCTTGAAAATGTAGCTGAAATTTAAGAGCCTCATAAAATGATATTTATTTAATAATTTAAACACACTTGTAATACTTTATTTCTAAGGGAATTCAATGCCTGTGACTAGTAGCAGCACATCTTTCTCTGCTCCTTCTGGAGGATTTCTGGGATTAGACAAATTCAAGAAACCTGAGGGAAGCTGGGACTGTGAAACATGCTTGGTACAAAATAAAGCAGAGGCCACAAAGTGCATAGCTTGTGAGACTGCAAAACCAGGCACCAAACCAGAGCTCAAAGGTAATGTTTCATGAAGGAAGTAGTAGTTGCACTCTTTCAGTTGTTTTCTATCTTCTGTAGTGGAAGATTTGTGTGAATTGCCACAGTTTCTCTGATTTACGTACGTGTGTGTGTGTTTATATATAAAAAAATAACTTTCACAAATGACTTTTTAGGATTCATTGTGTGTGTACATGTGGGGAAAAATTACCTCTTGTTAGGAGAAATATATTCTTGTTCTTAAAATAGTCTATATCACCAAGTCTGGTAGTTTGAAGTATATACAAAAAGTTTCTGTTTACAGTGTATTGTCAGAATTGTTATTTGATTCTATTAGGAGATACAACACCTCTCATTTGAGGGGGTCTGTATGATAAAGGAACTGAGAATGTACAAACAGAAGGCATTTCTAGTTTAAAAAAAATGTCTGATATACTTGGCTCAGGAGAGGATCAGGAGCAGAACAGCAGTGTTGTTGCAGATCAGAATTTAAGTGCATGTTTCTGTATTATAAATGTTGTCTGTTATTCCTTTCTACAGGTTTTGGTACTGCTGCTGTGTCCTCAGATGCCGCTGCACCGTCATTTAAATTTGGTATTCAGTCGTCATCCTCTGAGTCACCTCAGACGTTAGGAAGCACAGAAAGTTTTAAATTTGGAGAACAGGGGGGTTTCAAGTTCGGTATTACATCAGAGTCAGGATCTGTAACAAACACCATGACTGGGGGCTTTAATTTTGCTAAAACTTCAGGGGATTTTAAATTTGGAGTCATCTCTTCAGATTCTAAATCAGAGGAGAGTAAAAAAGACAGTAAGAGTAACAGTTTTAACTTTGGACTTCCCTCGGGTACAAGCAATACATCTACTTCAACATTTCAGTTTGGAACCTAATAAGCAGGAAAAGAAAGAGGAACCCGTTTTAGGGGGTTTCAGTTTTGGTACAAGTTCTATTGCCTCCATAGCTACACCAGAGAATAAAACAGGAGTGAGTGGATTCAGTTTTGGAACCGTGGAGGTAAAGGAAGTTGCATCAAGTCCTTTTTTATTTAAAAAATCAGAGGAGAAAAAAGATGAAACTCCTTCAGTAAAGGGAGGCTTCACTTTTGGCAGCACGGAGGGCGCGTCTGCATCACAGTTTGTTTTGGGAAGGACAGAGGAGAAACAGGACTCTGTTACCTCTGCTACTTCATTAGTGTTCAGGAAGACTGTTGACAATGAGGAGCCAAAGGCACAAACCATCTTTGCATTTGGGAAGTCTGAGCAGACCAAAGAAGAGAGCACAGCAAAACCCACATTCACTTTCAGCTTAGCAAAACCAGAAGAGAAGGAAACTGAGCAAACAAAGCCAGCTTTTACATTTGGGGCACAAACCAATACTACAGGTAAAAGAATCTCTTGCCTTGAACTTTGTCTGGTCACATCCATGAAATAGCAAAATTAAGTCACTGTCAAGAAAATAAGCATATCTGAGTGATTTGTTAATGTGTTAGATCTTTAGAAAAACTTTTATTTACTCCTTGAAAATGAATTTACAATTTTGGCTCTTGGAGGATAACAGAATTGTTACCCAATTTCTCTGTAGACTTCAGTGGAGTTGAACATGACACAGGTTGAAAACACTGACAAAATATTTACTGCACATAAGAACCATTTTCTACCAGGTCTTGCCTAAATGCAAAAGTTGTACCTCTTTTTGCTTTCCATACCAGCATAGTTAAAGCAGCAGTACAATGTGTACAGTTATCCCAGTATAAAAGTGCCTCATACTTGTACATCTTATTCCAATATGAGCAGGAGAGAACATGCTATACTGCTATAACTGTGCCCACATGAAAAGTTATACCAGTATACCTATCAGTTCAAAAACAAGTCACAGCTGTAACTGAAATATTGGTACAAAAGTCTGGTACTAGTATAATGTCCTGCATTAGCTAGGGATGTAAGAGACTAGCTGTCTGACTGATAAGCTAACGCTTATCAGATAGTCGACTAGTGATTCAAGTAGTCGCTTCCCTCCCCTTGTGGCCTCCATCAGAGGGAGCAGGAGCTGGTCTCGGCAGCACCCTCTCGGCAGGGGAGATAGAGGCACAGTGGAAACCGTGAGCGGGGACTGAAGCAGTATCCGCTTGTACCGCTTCTGTTGCAGTTCTGCTTTTGAAATGTTCAAGAGTCCCAGTGGGGCTTTTGTACATTCCGAAAGCAGAAGCCCTGCAGGGAGCACCTTCCCTGTGGGGCTTTATTTTGAAATGTACAAGAGCCCTGCTGAGGCTCTTGTACATTTCAAAAGAAAGCCCTGCGCTCCCTGAGGGGCTTCCGCTTTTGGGCTGCAGTTCAAAGGCGGAGGCTCCCTTATACTCTAATTGATTAGTCAATGGAAATCCCATCGACTATTTGATTAATAAACTAATCTAAATTTAACATCCCTAGCATTAGCCCATATGTTGGTAATATTGCCACCGCTGCAGGTGAAAATGAGCTTTTTAGTGAGGTGTTCTAGCTATTAAGATCCAGTTTTGGCCAAAGAACTGTCAAGTTTTAAAACCATTTTTTTTTCTCTAGGGCTACATCTACACTGGCATGATTTTGCGCAAGAACTCTTTGGCAGAAGAGTTCTTGTGCAAAAACTTTTCCAGAAGAAAGCGTCTACACTGGCATGTGCACTGGCATGTGCTTTTGCGCAAGAGCATCCATGCCAGTGTAGACGCTCTCTTGCGCAAGAAAGTTCCGATGGCCATTTTAACCATAGGGCTTTCTTGTGCAAGAAATTCATGTTACCTGTCTACACTGGCCTCTTGCGCAAGAACAGTTGCGCAAGAGGGCTTATTCCTGAGCGGGAGCATCATAGTTCTGGCGCAAGAAGCACTGATTTCACACGTTAGAATGTCAGTGTTCTTGCACAAGAACTCGTGGCCAGTGTAGACAGGCAGCAGGTTTTGGCGCAAAAGCACCTGCTTTTGCGTAAGATCGCACCAATGTAGACATGGCTAAGAGGATTAGCAGAGTTTTCTCAGTAATTATGAATAAAGATCTCCATTCCCAAAGACAGGGAAACAAAATATTTGAAGACATGGGACTGAGGAGGGTTAGTCTTATTTGCTTTGGCAGCAAATGTTGAAGATACTTAAATATGCATATGCAGTTTGATCAGACAATTTTAAATTATTTTCCAGATAGCACAGGTGTTAACTACTTAACTTTATCCCCTATTAGGGATAAATCAGTCACCCGACTTTTAAAAAGTACAGCCCTACACAGGGAAATTACTCACTGTACAGGTTATATCTTCCTTAACCGGGTCTCTGTGGTCCAGCTGGACCACAAATATTCCTGGACTACAGAATCCAAGCATAAAGAGGTGAGGCCATAGGGCAGGAAGGGGAGAAGGAGGGGTGTGACTTGGGAAGGAGCCCTGTGTTGAGGGAAGGGGACACAGCAGGGAGTTCTGGCCCTGAGGGTGAGCGGTAATGTGGGGCCAGCAACAGCTGTGGAGCTTTGGTCCTAGCAGCTGCATAGCCTAAACTGCCCCAGAAGCTACAGAGCCCTGGCAGCCACAAAGCTCCAGCCTGGGGAGCCATGGCTGGGCAGGCAGTAACAGGGCTCGGCTGGAGTCCTAGTTGGGCCATGTTGGGAGGGACCTCTCCTTGTTTGGCAAATCCCCTTGTTCGGGACCTCTCCTTGTTCGGCAAATCCCCTTGTCCCTGGATAAGGGAGGTCCAACTGTAGTTGAGTTTTGCCTGAATCAGGGATACAGGATCAGGCCCTTAGTTTTGTAGTGGGCTGGAGAAGAAATAATGGTAAATCAGTCTGTTCCCTTCTCCCCCTGAAGTAGGATACATTTAGCTTAGCTATGAAACTATTCTGCTGTCTCTTGGAATAATTTACCACTAAGCACTTCCATCATTGGTGGCAAAAAAAAAAAAAAAAGTATTGTGTGTATGTAATGCTAGTTCATATTTCCTTTAGAGCCTTTCCTCTGTCTTGTAGTCTTCTCCCACCCTCTGCCCCACAAATTGTTTTTTCTGGGAAAAAGACCAGTTTATGCATTTCACCTTGGTTTTACAAGATAAAAGCTGTGACACTTAGGTGTCATCCAGTGATGATGTTGGCATGCACGGCTTGAAACAACACATGTACTATGCCTCCAGAGCCTCCTTTGCCATTTTTAAAGTAGTTTATAATTGCTCTCCTTCTTTGCAGATCAAGGGGCAACAAAGCCAGCTTTCAGTTTCTTGAACCCTGGTTCCTCTTGCACAGCCATACCAAGCACTTCAGCGAACAGCAGTAGTGTGTTTGGCAGCTCCTCCTCTGCCTCAAATCCTCCACCAGTTGCCACTTCCTTTTTGTTTGGACAAGCCAACAACACTGTGAGCAGTTCTGGGTTTGGCAATGCCTCCGAATCCAATGGCTCTCAGTCATTTGGGTTCTCTCAAGAAAGCAAACCAGTCACCACATCGTCCAGCACAAATGCAGCTGTTGCTTCATTTCTCTTTGGTTCAGGATCTACCAGTAGCAATAATGCAACCTCTGGTTTCAGCTTTGGGGCCACAACCACATCAAGTTCTACAGGTATATTTACAACTTTATACAAAGAAGGAGTTACTCAGTCGTTAGTGGTGCTACCATGTTATGAAAAAAGTGCCCGTCTCTTCGTACTTTTCATCAGTAAATCTCAAAGACTTTGTCTCAGAAATTTTTAGGAAAAGTCATAAGGCATTCCTATTGGAAAAGGGCAAAAGCATTAGAAATACAGTTTAAGAGCAAGTGTCACAAGCATTATTTTGTATGTCACATAACCTCCCCATTTGCTTTCCAGTTCATATAACTAGAGTTCTGCTTCTGCTAGGGAAACAGGAGATAATTTGATTGTAGTTATGGAATATTGCTGTACCAGAACCAGTTTTTGAAAATTCAGCCTAATTTCCCACTTTTTTAAAAACTTGGAAGTGATGAAATTAAAAAAAAAAGTCTTAGAAAAGTTAAAGCTCTCCTCCTGAAGGTTTGCTGGTCTGGGTCCATTTGTTGCCACACGATTGTTGTGATTAAGGATGTAAGTGACTAGTCGAGTAGTCAACTATCTGATAAGCCTAGGCTTATCGGGTAGTTGAGTGGACTACTCACTCTCCCCCTCCTCCCGCTACCTCCCTAACAGAGGCAGCAAGATGGGGAGCAGGAGCCGATGCTGGAGGGAGCCAGTTTAAAAGCTGGTTCCCCCAGCAGTGTGTTGCTGGTGTGGTGAGGAGGGGCAGGGAAGGTTGCTGCAAGCAGAGGCTGCTCCACATTCCGCAGAACAACCCCTGTCCGTGGGGAGATCCCAGGACCCCCCGTGGACAGAGGCTGCTGGGACTGGTGCAAGCTGGGACGGAGCAAGCCTGGCTCAGTCCCAGTTTGCACAGGGTCCAGGACATACCCCCACTACAGTTCTGCAATTTAAATGTAGTAAGAGCCACCTGGCTCTTACTACATTTAAAATGCAGAGGCACAGCAGTCTGGGACTTGTCCCTCAGCTCACGCCTGCTCAGTTCTGACTCATGCCAGGTCTGGGAACTACCCATGCTGTGACTCTGCAGTTTAAATGTAGTGGGAGCTGGGCAGCCTGCGCACCCAGCTCCTTGTACATTTAAACTGCTGAGTTGCAGTAGGGGTAGCTCCTGGACTAGGTGCAAGCCAGGATAGAGTCCCTCTCTGATACAAATTGTATTGACTACACGATTAGCCAATTACCCACTTCTTAACATCCTTAGTTGTGATCATAGTGCTGTTGTTGAGCCCTTGGTCCTCTATTTACTGCTTGAAAGCACTCATGTTTCTCAGTGAAAATGGTTCATTTATTACCTTCCCACTCATCCTTCTGCATGTGAAAATTCTCAAATGTCATTAATATTTTTAAGCACAAAATTCTTTAGTTCTTTCCCTGAATGCAGCCTTCTTCTTTGGTACAGTGTTTAAGCACATCATCGGTGTTTGCTCCTGCTACTGTGACTGGTTCATTTAAGATCAGATTTGTTTCTTCCCAGTTATTGGGTAAAGAACTGTGATCCTGTTAATCTCTCACTAATTCAAATAAATTAAAAATCAGAGTCTAAAATCCTAAAATGTGTGATCTAATGGGGCAAGAGTTTAACTTGAACTCGAGATACTACGCAGTGCTCAAACAACCCAGTAATTTGAGTGAAATTGATTTTGTTACTCAGTTAAGAAACAGAATTTAAATGTGTTTGTCTCCAACCCTCATTACTCTTCTGGGAGTTAAGTTTAGGAACTCTTTTTGCCAGAAGTAGTGGTTCAGACCTTGAATTGCTATACAAAGAATTACACATTTTTAAGAACAAGTATTCTAACTCTGAATTACAGCTTCTTTGCCAGCAAATCTGCTTGTCACTTTGAATAAATCATACTGAATCTGAGACAAAAATGTTAAGAGGAATTTTCTATTCTAATTCAGAAATCCAAATGTGTG